CTCCAGGAATCTTTCGGCCCAGGGGTTCGTGTCATGTTGCAATTCGCCCCCCGTCTCTCCGCCCCTCGTGTTCTCGAGAGTTGTCCGAAAAGTGCTGCGATGAGTTGGCGATGGTTGCCTGGCATTCGGAGCATGTTTTTGGACCGGCCCAGACGTCGTACGAGCGCCTCCTCCGCTGGTGGCAGTATTTGCCAGTGGCGGAACGCCTCCAGCGTGCCCAGGGATCGCGCACTGCCGCCCTCGCGCCCGGCGGTGGCTCGGCCTCTCATAGCCCGTCTCAGCAGTGCCCCCATCGCACGTTGGAGTTGCACGTGTTCGCCGGGCGTCGGCAGGTAGCACTCTATGCATGACAGCCCCGCGTTGATTACTCAGCAAATCAATACTGCTCTTTTCCATCTGTATGGGGGGTTGGCTTTGCTCAAGAAAGCACCGCACTCGTAGTAGCTCTTTCTCATGGCCCTGATGCGTTGTGTAAGCTCTGTCGCGTGCGTCTGCGTCGTGGGTCGTGCTTGAGTTGGTGGCGTGCTCGTCGCGCGCATTGCCCCTGAAAGTAGACTAGGTTATCATGATTGTCCTGGTTCTGGCGCATCCCGACGTTCTGCAATCGTTCGATGAGGTCCTCGCCCACTTCGCGCGTTTGCTGTGCCAGTCGCGGTGCATCTGCGCGTGTCCCCCCAGGATGAACTCGCGGAGGTCGTCGGCGCACTTGGCGAGGCCCGCGTAGATAGGGTGTCGAAATAGCGCGCTGCGCCCGTAGAGTTCGCAGTCGCGGTCCAGGTTGTCGCTGCGCTCGCGAACCCATCTCTGTAAGCACGGCGTGAAACTAACCGCGAAATTGCGTGCCATGCGCGGGTCGCCGATGGGTCTTCCACAGTGTGGTTTGATGCATGCCCCCGTCGGTCTGTCTCGGCATGGCATGTGGAATGTCGCGCGTCTGTAGCGTTGTGCTCCCAAGTCCCAAGCATCCTCTGGCATGATTTTGCTGTTGGCTTCGTCCATCGTGATCCATGCGCCGCGCGAAGGCGTTCGACCTGTCCCTTGGCCAGTGTTGCCCCCTCCGGGCGTCGTCCTTTGATGAAACCATAGTCCTGGTCGGTGTGGATTCGTGCACGTTGTCTTCGCACGTTGGCTGAGTAGTATGCCTTGCCGATCGGGTCCACGATGCGGTAGATTATCTTGCCTGGTGGTCCTGGTTCGTTGTTCTGCTTGACTGCAGTCGCCGTGCTCTGGTGCCAGCGTACTGGCGCAGTGTTGCTGAGTCGTATCGCAGCAAATTATGCTCGAAATAAGTCGTTGAAGAGGTCCGGTTCAGCCTGCGTGTTTGGCGCTCCCAGGCCTTGGCGTCTTTGTGGCGCTGGTGCGAAGCCTCCCAGTAGTAGTCTCCATAATTCGGACGGCGCCGCTGTGGGTGGCGCAACTCGTCGTAGTTTCGCTCTCCTGAGGCTATGCTTGATATTCTCGATGTCCTGGTCAATTAACTCCTCTAAGTCGTTATCGTCGAAGTCTCGCGCCTCTGCGCCTATTGGTATCTGCTCCAGCGTGTCATCGTCCTGCTCCGTTCCCTCCATTCCGCCTGGTAGTTTCCCAAACTCCAGCCATTCTTCCCGTGTCGGTTCTGCCGTAATTGTCGTCCAGTAGTCGCGTTTCCGTGGCCCGTGTCTGCTTCCCGCAATGAATCTGGTCGATCTGCCCACTCTCGCTAGGTCCCTGCATTCCCATGCCTCGTACAATTCGTTCACTCTGTCGTCCGTCAGCTTCTGGTACTCCACTTTGCGCATGGTCGCGCATTCCCTGGTGATCAGGTGCAGCTGGTTCTCGATATCGCTCGCTCTTCTTTCCTTTGGGTCCGTCGGCGATGATCAAATAGTCACACAGTCCCTCGGTGATGATCCAGTAGTCAAACAACAGGTAGCTGACGTCCCAGTAGCGACGCAGGACGTCGTCGACGACCCCGTAGCCACACAGGCTGTTGGTGGAGACCCAGTAGTAGCACAAGCCCTCGGTGGAGACCCAATGGTCACACAAGCCCTCGGTGAAGATCCAGAAGCAACACAACCCGCCGGTGGAGACCCAGTGGCTGCGCAGGCCGTGGGCGACGACCCTGTAATTACTCAGTCCGGTGGTGGAGTCCGTAGTTCTCTGCGCTGTAGGAATAGCTTCATGCGGCACGATCGTCAGTGTAAGCCGGTGTGGGTGGTGGCCGTTGTCCATACATTGGGGTAGCCGCCTGTACGATCATGTCGTTGATGTCCGCGAACAGTTGGTCTATACCCTTGCCAGTGGAGACGTACGTCTCGAGTCTTGTTTCCAGCGCTTCGATGAACTCGTTGCGATGATGTCCGTGTCGGGCCGGTTGAGCAAGTAGGCCCTTGTCCCATCTCACTGGCTTCTGCCTCTGGACTTGGTGTCGGCGTATCATCACTGTGACTGTTGTCTGTACTGGTACGTGGTCGCGGTGATATATGCTGGGGATTGTTGTAGTTTGGTGCCCATGCGGAGGAGGGGTCCCTGGCTGATGACGTTGCTGGAGAATTCCTGCGGTATCATGATGAAGTCGATACAGCTCGCCGAGCGTCGGTGCGTCTGTGTGTGTGCCGAAGTACGTCGGGCGCCATGGCGACTTGCTGCTCGTGACCAGGAGTTGGTGGCGCTCCGCGTATTGGCGTGCTCGTTGTCCTGCGCCTCCTGGTAGTCATTCTTTCGTGCGGTGCTCGCCCAGTGTCGTGCTCGGTGGCGTTTGTCCTCTCGCCGTGGAGCCGATCCCGTCGTTCAGGTCGCCCGCTGTGAACAGTAGGCTGCCTGGTGGTCGCTGTTGTGCAATGGTATCCATCCACTTGTAAAGTCGTGCCAGTGTCGCGTAGTATTGTTTCTTCTCCTCCTTCGTGGGCGGCCGGGGTGGGAAGTAGTAACCTATGATCGTCAATCGCAGGGTATGGTACGCAATGTCTAGTGCTACGCCTCGGCCGCACAATTCTGGTGGTGGGGCATGTACTGCGAATATATCCGCTCCCCGTAGTCGTCCTTGTAGTGCCACCAGGATTCCCGTGCTGCGGTTGGTAAGCACGCCACTCTGCCATCCCGCATCGATGTACATTGTGTGTTGTAATCGCCGTTTCTCTGGTTCTGTTCCTCGTCGGAGTCTTTGGGTGCCTGACAGGATCACGACGTCGAAGTTGCTTGCTTCCTCCAGGATATCCTGGAGGCGGTCCTCTCTTGCCGTCAGCGGATTGTAGAGCAACAGCGCAAGGGAGATCATCCATCGCAGCGCTATCATGCGGGCTTCCGCCCAGTCAGTCCTACCTCCACCTTTCTGTGGAATGACGGAATGTAAGTGTGCTGCTGCCCTGACCGTCTCTTGGGCCCAGATGGCAGCTGAAGCAGCAGGAGAAGAAGGAGAAGAAAAACGGAAAGGAGGCGGAGGCGGAGGAGAACCAGGAGGAGGAGGAGGAGGAGGAAGAGGAGGAGGAGGAGAACCAGGAGGAGGAAGGATGGTCACGTCTGTGGGTCACGCCCCTGGGGCCCGCGGGAGCCAGCCACGGGGAGGGTCCCTTGGAAGCGCAAACTCCCTTGTACGACCCGGACCCCCTCGCGTTGTGACAAGATCACGGGGGGAAATGTTTTGTTATTTTCGGCCTTCGGGGGCCTCTGCCGGGCCTCGGGGCCGTCAGAGAACAACTCAGGATGAAACGCCGGTCCCTGGGAAGGGGTCCAGACCTCTGGGGGCCGACGTCGTGCAAAAACCACGACGTCAGGGGTCTGGGTTGTAAGCCTGCGAGCCTACATCACCGTGGCGAGAGTTTCTGTCAATCAGCCTTCGCCAGTAGCGCAGCCTGGCGGAGTACATTGGAGGCCCATGCCAAGAAACACCATGCTTGCCTCCAGGGTGCCCTGGGTTTCTTGAGCTTCGATGGCTTTGCCATAGGAAGCGTGACGTCCCCACACTGAAGGTCAGTGGACGTCCTGGGGTCTCAGGGTTGGGCTTCTTGTGGAAGGTTTCTTGTGGACTGGCCTCCACTGAAGTTTGACGCAAGAATGCTCCAACTCACCTCCGCGCGCGGGCGCGCGGCCCGATCCATGCAATATGTAGGGCGTGGCGCGGAGCAGCTTCCAATCTGATTCTGGGGCAACAGGGCTAGAAACTTGGCGGCGAGCGAGGCGGGGAAACGAGAAGGAGAAGGCCTTCTCAGAAGGCGGCGGGACTTCTCAGAAGCCCACACGCCTTCTGAGAGGTTGTTTTATGTCTTCGGGAAAGGCTTGGAACACTTCTCAGAAGGCTGGGGGACTTCCGAACCTTCTGAGAAGACCTTCGCCTTCTCACTTCCCCCCTTCGCTCGCCGCCGATAAACATCAGGCGAATCCGAAACTACTCCGCCGACTGACGCGCGCATCCTGATGTTAGGGATCTTGAGGGATATCTTCGCCCTAGTCAATTGATGAAACTTTTGCCACGGCTCTGTAGGCCCCCTGGATTGAGCAGGGACCGACCGTCCCGGCATTCCTATAGTCCTACCACGAAATGTTCTTAGATCCCAAAAATGTTCGAATAACGACAACAATGTTCATAGAACATCAACCCGATGTGCTAAACCAAGACAGACTCCGCCAGAAATGTTCGAAGCACATTTCGTGGGAATCACAAAAGGTTCTTAGAACATTGTTTGGTAGGGCTGTAGGCGAGCCAGGACGCTTCGCCACTGCTTGACTGGAAGCGCAGGCCCCGGCGCAGACGTCCCCGGATGCCTCCGGAGGGCTCCAGCGGAGGCTGGGCCTGCAGGGCGCGTGCAGAGGCCTCCCGAACCTGGCCAGGGCAGCCCGCGTCCGAGGATCACACCGCACCTGCCGATGCATCGACGACGCGTCGGCCACGCAAGCGTGGCGGGCATCGCGCCGGAGATCGCGCCGCGCCGCCAAGGCGCCGGCGATGCTCTCGAAGGGCAGGGCCGCGGCATTGAGAAGCACACGGCGTCGGAGGTGCGGGTGGCTTGCGGGAGCCCGTCCAC